CAGTTAAGGCATCTTAACGTTTTGGCTATACCAAGCTGTTTTCAGCTGTTGCATTTCTAAAGATGCAATTTTAACTTATGTGTAAATATTTTCTCTTTCTTATATCCATCTCTCAGCCATATACAGCTGTAAAAAACTTTTTAAAAAATTCACCTCCAAGCTTAGAAAATGCTTCATCCAGACCAGCAGTTTTCTTCCAAAAGCAGTCAGATGTTTATGTTCACAAGCAGAGCATGAAGATGCTGGCAATTTGTCAGTATTTTAAGATATAGGGCCTTTCAACAAGAAGGCTGAGAATGTAAGAGCTCTGCTGAATCAACCAAAGGTCTCTCCTGTCTGTCATACCGTTTCTCCTCCTAGGAGAGGTCCAAAAATTGGACATGAGGGCAGGAACCTTCTCCTGCTGTTGTTCTCTGGTGATTCGTGAGCAAAGTGAGCAGAGACAGAGTGAAGGGCAACCATTGTTCAGGCTGGGAAAAATAAAGACATCTTATTTTAGACAAGACTGAAATATGTAGGAAGAATGACAGCAGGGCTGGGAAAGTTCTGTCTCCAAAGGCTATAGACTTCTAATCTCCAACCACACCACTGAGACGGGCCAGTGGTGAGGTATGACACACATAGTAGTTCATCAACATTTGGTGGGTGAAAGGGTCCCCCTCCCCCACTACCACCTTAGACTTTTATGTCTGATGGACAAGTAGGTGGGAAGTCTTTACTTCTTTGTCTTCATACTTTGTTTAATGTGCAGATCAGTGTCATGTAGAACAGATTGAGGAAGTAATTCACTCATAGAGTGAGAAGATCAACAATTTAAACATTTGGGCCCCATTACTTGAATGGTTGCCAGTGCTGCACCAAGCTTAATGAGCTTTTACTTTCCCCATACATTTCCTTTGTTGTTTCAAATATACGTTCCATTTTGTTTTCACATGATAGCCAAATTTAATACATTAATATAGCTCTAATGAATTTTAGTGGAGTTTTAATATGGACACATTATGGCTGAGGGTGGGTATAATTAACAACAAGCTGCAGAGAGAAACCCATCTCTAAGACAGCTTGTTTGTTTGGGGAGTATGGGGAGAGAGCAGAAAATACTTCTTGCCAATATGATAATTACAATTACACAGCCATAATGTTTTCTATAAAGGAAAAATGCTGATTATCTTTCTGTCTACTTTCTTTTTGCTCATTTTACACACAGTTGTCTATAAGTATGCCTCCTGATACATTTTATTACAAATAAGAGAACCCACCAATGAATTGGGAAGAATAATTCAGTCAACTTGTTTTGAGGATGAGTTATCGTAAGATTGTTTGAGGTGACTCATGCTGATGACTCTTGTGAAAACCATATGAGACATTCTGTATCTGGGTGTACACCAGAGGTTCCTGGGTAGCCTGTACCAGTCTGAACAGAACCTACCTCTTTATTACACCTAAAAAAACCATACGTGAAAGAAAAACAACTTTCCACATACCAGCCAAGCTTGCTTTAAAATGAACCATTGTCTTCCTTCTATGTATGCTTCCAGGGATACCTGTTGTCACCCTCTCCACTTGGCCGTCTTCTGCAGAGAATGCATGGCTGTTTCCTGAAGGCAGCAGCAGGAATAGGGATTTTCAAACCATTGTTTGTGCTGAGTGTTGCAACTAGTGTGAAACCAGCTGCATGACAGAAACCCTGCCAAAGGGGGGAAAACTATCTGCACAATAACTATGCACAGTTTAACTAGATTCTCATTTAAGTAATCAAAAACACAGAAACAAAATAATATACTTGAACTGCCCAGACAAAACAACTAAATCTTGAGCATTTACACAATACATATATATTTAAAAGACGCCCCATTCCTATTTATTTATTCTGAAATAAATCCCATTAGTTTAACATAATTTCCTTCCTTCCAGTGACTTCTTTTGGGGAAGCAGATACAGGATGATAATAGGTTATTATTGCTAGAAATATGTTGAGCCAATACACTTTTCTTCTTAAAACCCATTTCCTGCAACTAGTCAGATGGCCGGGGGTGGGACTACTGTGTATTGTGTCTTATGCTCATATACCAACCACACTTGATGACTGAGGAAAAAAATAGTTTGAACTCATACTACACTGTTAATATACAGCATTTGGGGCATTCTTTAGCATAAAAATGTAATAAATCATTTGCATGATCGAGAAAGTAAGTGGCAAGGAGAGGCAGTAAGACATATCTGAAATTAGTGTGCGCCTTTCCATAGAGTGTTCAGCTATCTCTCATTCCAGTGTGCTGTTATTAGAGGATTTTAATGTTACCAGATTAACAGCCACAGATGATCTCTTGAGCCTAAGATCCTGATAAAAATTGGAATGCAGTCAATGCTGGGAGATAAGAGGTACATTCTATTCTTCACTGCTCCAGAAGGGACTCAGCCACATAATTGAAATTTTTAATAGGGAGCATCTGCTGAGGATTTTCTCTGTGAGTCTATTTCTCACTCTTTTCCTTACTTTTCTTTTACTTTCTCTCTCTCTTTGTTTTTAAATTACAAGATCTAGGGGGGAAATTGTATATAATCCGTGGTAGGAAGATCTAACACCTCCTGCGCAGATGTGCCTGACAACATATTGTTTTCCTTCATATGCAAATTTCTGCCTGGAGTGGATACAGAATATGGGTCCCCGCTTTCCAGAGCTCTATCTCTGTTGTCATGTCCTTGTAGTCTTGTCAATAAAAAAGCAGCAGCTGCATTTCACTGTGGAAATGACAGCTGCAAATGATTTTTGTGTAAGGTGTAGAAATAAGTATGGGAGGGGAGAGAGAAATAGTATGTAAAGGAAGTGGTATGTACATATTTTCAAAATGGCATTTAGAACTGGATGCCCAGGAAAATAAATTTTGGGGGAGGATTTGTTGATGCATCTTTCAGAGAGTAATTTTTCACTATATAATTTATTTCTGCGAGAAACAAAATCCCTACAGTTTTATACATTTCATATGCACTTGCTTGCCTAGAGTGGTCGCAAGGCCAGATAGGCGGGATATAAATAAAATAAATAAATAAATATAAATAAATAAATAAATATATTGTTCAAGGTACATGATAGTAGTGAGCAGTTCTAAGTCATGAGGAGTGGTAGACACACCATGAGGCTATGCCAAGTATGGACATTCCTATAATTTTTTAAATATCTGCAGTCTATGAAGGATTTGTCAGCTGCATGGCATTGTCCAGGGGGACACCTGAATGCCAGATGCAGGGGAGAGGGTCTCAAGAGACAGGTATCTAGTTGTCTCGTGTGCTCCCAGAGGCATCTGGTGGGGCCACTGTGAGATACAGGGAGCTGGACTAGATGGGCCCTTGGCCTGATCCAGCAGGGCTCTTTTTATGTTCTTATACTGCTTGTCCACTCTTGGGGAGGCTCCTTTCATGTCCCTCAGAGAGAGAATATTAATAGGGCCATCAGTGGCTATAGCACTAAAGGAGGTGGATTTTGGACTTGGGATGGTATCTTGTCTCCAAATTTTGGTCATACACTGCCTGCTCACAAATAAATTTGACTTGGCCAAGTTCAGTTTCTCAGCTGTTTTGAAGAGAACCTGAAGCAAGTGGATTCTCTCCTATTTTAGATGAACAAGTGATACAGCCTACTATTTCCAGCAATAAGGTTATACAGACAGTATCAGCTGTGTCTCCTTTATGACTTTAGTGGCAAAGGTAGTTATTACCACTTTTACTGACTTCTTTGCATTAAAATCCACAGACTGAGCCCTAAGTTAGAATGTTAGCAAGAGTGATCAACCTAATGCAGTAGCTGTTTTTGTTGCACCCTTGGGGCACGTTGCACAGAAGAGGTATGGAGCAGCAGAAAACGATGTTTCAGTCAGTGTTTGGATTTTTCAAATCAATACTGGCCATACAGTATATTGAAATTAACGCATGTTCTCATCTGCTTTCTATTTTGTTTTTTTACTTGCTTTATATTGCTTGATGCAATTGGATTTTTTTGAATTTTTGTAGCCCACCCTGAGTGGCACTGAAGAGTGGGCTAAAGGTATTTCCATAAGTGAACATCTTTCTCACAACCCCAGAAGCTGTGTCGCTTGGGGCGATGTTGTTATGCCAGTTTCAGAGTCAGGACTACTTCCAAAATAGGCTAGAAACGGCACACCGTGGGAAGAGCCGCGTATTCACTCTTAAAAGATCTCTAGGGCCTCTGGAGAACTACAGTTTCCAGGTTTCCCCCACGGAGTGGAAATTGCTGTGAAAATTATATAGTGTGGAATCTATGGTAGACCCGCGGGAGAACTGGCTCTGAGATCAAGATGAGTTGCTTCCAATCTGAGTGTGGTGTAAACCCTCGTTTCCGCCTGTTGCTCCCCCCGCCGGCCCCGGCCCCGGCCCCCGCTTCTGGAAAGCGTGGTGTCTTCAGCTGAGCAAAAAGACCCCTAACCGGCGAGCGGCGGGGACGCCTGGCGCCACATCCCTGTCGCGGCTGCGCTCGGGCGAGGGGTGCGATCTTTTGCCGGGAAAGAGGTCCCACCGAACCCCTTGCCCGCGCTCCCGGGGCTGCATTGGCCACCTATGGGGCCGAAGGGAGGGGGGGGAAGTTCATGACCCGGCTCCTTGCCAGAGTCGTGTGAACGCGTTGCCTCGTCAGAAGCGCCCCGGGTTCTGAGTGCCTCCTCCTCATCCTCCTCGGAGAGCACACAAATGTTTTAGCAGCTTAGCGAATGTGAGGCGCTTAATCCTGGCGCCGTTGGGGTCCAACCTCAGGAGGAGGTCAGGAGAGCGGGCGGCGTGAGGCGCTTGAATTCCCTCCCCGATTCTCCGGCGGGGGAGGGGGAGGAGGGGGTTCCGCGTGGGTTGCCCCCCCCGTTTGCTGCTTTCTTCTTTGACCGCCTCTTGTTCTGCCTGTTTGTCTGTTCGCTCGTTTTTCTTTCCCCGCCCCTCCCCTTCCCCCCCCCGCTGCTGCTGCTGCTCCTCCTCCTCTTCCTCCTCCTCCTCCTCAGGGCACCACTGGCCGGACAGCCCACCTCGCCTCCTCGGACCAGCCGCCGCCGCCGCCGCCTCCGTCGCAGCCGCTGCCCAGGGAGTCCTTCGCGCCCAGCCATGGGAGCGCTTTCCATTTGCCGGACTCTTCGTCGTCGTCGTCCTCGCAGCAGCAGCAGCAGCAGCACTCGCCGGCTCTCTACTACTCGAGCTCCACGCTGCCGGCACAGAGAGTGAGCTCGCCCTTGTCCATGCAGCAGGTGGGCTCGCCGACCAAGCTCCAGCGGGCGGGCTCAGCCTCCGAGAGCAGCGCCGCCGCCGCCGTGGCTG